AATAATGGTTCGTATTGTAACGGAATAGGAAAAAAAAAAAAAGTTTTTAAAAGATGCAGTTGTAATACTCTTTGAAATGCAGTCATGCAGCATCTGGTTCGAGACATGTCACTCTCTATCGCTTGGATGTACTGTAACAATTGGCTGGAGGTAAATAAGACCATCTACGACAAAAGACCGCGTGTAAGAATGATGGTAGTGCCTTCGAGCGATGTCTGTTCTGTATCTACTAAGTTGGCTTTAAGGGCGGAGGAGTCAAGACATTGCTACTATATTAAATAAATAGAGATACTCGGCCTTACTCTGAGATGGGAAAAGCTGGGTTAACTGTTTGAACTGAAACAGCACGTATAATATCTTTTTCTTTTGTCTTTTTTTCCCCCCTCCAACAAGAAACAAGCCTTCAAACTCGTATCAGTGCGATTTTCGAAAAAAAGAAAAACACAAAAAAGGATTTTCTCGGAATTAAATTTTCTGTGATTGCACTCGAAAAAATGAAACTCTTTGATTATAAAGGACCTTATTTTAATGAATTTTATTTATAATTTTCAAACATTTAATTTTGCAATAATTAAAAATTTAGTAAATATATATATATATTTTTTTAATAAATTATCTGAATTGTCTTTGAGATTTTCTGATTTTTTAAAAAAAAAAAAAATGCTTACATTATAATACCCGCTTTATAAAGCGTATTCCATTGTCACAATGTAATCAGGGAAATGTAACTTTTTTTTCAGTAAACCAAAAATTGGACTAGTTTTTTTTTTTACTAATGAATGACCTACATATTCGTCGCACATTTTAACTTTCACGAATGTCCTACATTTTGAAAATGTAATCTGTTGACCCCATTTCACATTTAACTTTACAAAATATTTAATAACAAATTTTCTCATATTGACCTAAAATTTCTATACAAAATAAGATTCTGCTAAATCCAATTAACCTCTTCATGGTCTTTTTTAATTAAAATGTTTCGCATATATTTAAGGAAAAAAAAACTATAAATAATAATTTTTTTTTTAGAATATTTAAAACTATATTAATTATTAATAATGGAAATAATTTTAAATTAATTTTTCTTCGATTTATTTCAGTTTTCTTTTTTAAAAAATTTGCTTTTCAATTATTTTTCACCTGATTTAAATTTAGAGAGAAGGCATATTACAACGAGAATGCGAATAATGTCTTGTGTGCAGCCGCAAAAAAAAAAAAAAAGTTCTCAAGCCATTTGAATGAGTAAAAGTTTTATTCCCTGATTATGAATTAATAAAGACTAAAAGCTTTATAGCTAGACTATTAAATTCCGTGGCAAGGGTGCGAACACAAAAGTTAGACAGCGAGTAGTCTCGTTACCAAGTTACCAAGAAATAAAAGTTTTTCTTTTTAATATACAGATCGAAATTCGCGATACCACAAGACTGTAGACTTTCAAAACAAGACAAGTTAAGCGGGAAAAGTCGAGTAAATTGCTCTATTATTAATAACTGTGTAACAAATTATTATTAAGAAAAATTATATTTTTAGACGTTAAATCTTTTGTGAAACTAAAAGTGAGGAGTTTGTGCATTCTTTTTTAAAATTCTTTCTGAAGGTGCAAATTTGAAATTTTGTAAATATATTATTATCTGTATGAATTTAATCTGTAATGCTTTTTTTTAACGCTTTTAATTTAATTACAAATGAATTACAAATTTGGAATTAAAAATGTTTATATAAATTCGTATGATATTGTGTTTGGCTGTGTTAAATTCATTGAGAGTGGAGAGGCTGGGTCCAGACTAAACGTGTGATTCGCGTTTGGCAGAGGGAAAAATCAATGAGCGGAAACGCGAAACTGGACGAAGGGTCGGAGGCTGGCAATGGATGGTGGACCTTTCGGACTGCGGGACTATAGTTTCTCTATTTCCTTCATTAACTCTGGTTCAACAGTGGCGTAACTTTTAATTGGAAGTAGTGGGGGGGGGGAGAGGGCAACGAGTCTCATTTCCCAACGGTCTTTTTCCTATATATTGGAATTCAGACTCACATCTTGAAAGACGTTAAAATTTTTCGCAAACTTTAGATTTTACTATTCAATTTAAAAAATCAATTTCTATTTAAAAATTGGATTTAAAAAAATCAATTTTACATTTTTGTTTTCAAAATATATGGCATATTTAAATTAATGTTCAGAAACATTACAGAAACTGATATTTAAGGATATCAATTTGGTTCCGGCGGTTTGGATATCCAGATAATATCCTATGACATCCCCAGGGTATCCTAGTGATGTCCAAACCGCCGGAATCAAATAGATATCCCTAAGATGTCCCAGAGATATCCTTAAATATCCGGTACAGTAAGAAAATGAGGTAATTGTGTCACATTTTGTAAAATTAAAAAAAGCATTCCCATTATTTCCAATTTCATTTAACCCAATTCACAAATCGGTAAATTTGCATTTTAGATTTTAGCAAATCAAAAATTAGACTAGAATTTTATTTTAGGTTTCTAAATTTGCATTTAAGTTAAGTTTAAAAGCTCGAATTTGAATTTCAAAAATTTTGTTAACATTCTAATTCGTCGAAATGAAAATTCGAAATATTCAACAGTATAAAATTCTGTACTACAATAAATATTTTTTTAAAGGAAAATAAAATTTCTTTTCCTTTGTAGAATCGGTATTATAAAAGAAAAAGCTATCGAGGAAATTTAAAAAAAATTTCTTATAATTCCATATTTGTTAAATATAAATTGAAATTCTATTTTTCATGCCAGTGTGTTAATTATCTGATAACTATTATTATTCGACAATGAGTATATGTGAAGAGAGCGCGCAGAACAAAAGAGAAAGAGAGAAAAGTGAGAGGTTTCGAAGGAGGAAGGTTTAGAGCTGGAAGCGGAGAAAATAGAGCGAGGATGAACAATTTCAGTCCGTAAATTAATTAGAAATAGTATAATAGCTGAGAGTGGCCGGCCGGTAGGAACGAGGTCCGTGGCGCGTTTGGTTTCGTGGTCAACGTGTTTCGGTGTGCAGTTCGCACAACCACACCGGAAGTTGGGTATGGTAACCAACCAAACCTACACTCACCTATACGTCACCCTTGCGCACATGCTTGGCCTGTTTGCAACCTCGAAGGCATTAACAGCCGCGCGTACTGCAAGTAAACTCGAGAAGCGAGAGACCAACCCTTTAGAAGGATATTTCGTGTTCCGTCGGATGGCGAAGTTCTCGGCGTAACAGAATGACCAGTAGGATTTCCTGCAGAGTTACAACCTATGCATACCGTCACCAAATAAATCTTAATCAACTGCGCTATGTTCGCGTGTCCCTTGAATTGTATATAAAGCAAAGGTCACTTTATTTCCGCAAAACTTTCATAATTCCCATCTTGCAGATGAAGATTCACAAATAACGATTAAAGAAATTTTAATGTCATCAATTTCAATTTTATTTTCAGGGTTCCGATCACGCAGTAAACCAAAACGGAACCCTTATGATTTCACTCTTGTACGTCCACAAAATACTACCCACCCACTCTGAATTCAAGCCATTTTAACTGATTAAGCTCAAAATTGGTAAACATTTGTATTCTTGCGAGTAGATTAAAGCAAAATTATAGCAAACCCGATTGGAATTGAATTTAATATAGTTATAATACAAAAAATCGAAATTTCGAAAAAAGTGTGTCGCCACCTTAACTTACACAGTATTAAAGCTACGATTTTTTTTCAAATAAGGATAGACTTAAGGCTGGTAATAGAAGTCTTCCTCTACTTGGATTTGGGTGTCAATTTTTTTCTACACTATTAGGTGTATTTTGTGCAAGAAAATGCATTAAAATCATCTGCCTAAGAAAAAATGAATTTTTTTCAGAACTTTTTTATGATTTTGAATGACTTTTTGGTGGTTATACAGGTCTTCCTCTACTCGGCTTTGGCTGTCGATTTTTTTCTACACTTTTAGGTGTATTTTGTGCATGAATATGCAATAAAATCGTCCGCCTAAGAAAAATTGAATTTTTTTGGAAATTTTTTTTTTTACCTGAATGACTTTTTGGTGGTTATAGAGGTCTTCCTCTAAACGGAATTGGCTGACGATTTTTTTCTACACTTTTAGGTGTATTTTGTGCAAGAATATGCAATAAAATCGTCCGCCTAAGAAAAATTAAATTTTTTTGGAAATTTTTTTTTGGACCTGGATGACTTTTGGTGGTAATAGAGGTCTTCCTCTACTGGAATTTGGCAGTCGATTTTTTTCTACACTTTTAGGTGTATTTTGTGCAAGAATATGCAATAAAATCGTCCGCCTAAGAAAAATTGAATTTTTTTGGAAATTTTTTTTTGGACCTGGATGACTTTTGGTGGTAATAGAGGTCTTCCTCTACTCGGATTTGGCTGTCGATTTTTTTCTACACTTTTAGGTGTATTTTGTGCAAGAATATGCAATAAAATCGTCCGCCTAAGAAAAATTGAATTTTTTTGGAAATTTTTTTTTGGACCTGGATGACTTTTGGTGGTAATAGAGGTCTTCCTCTACTGGAATTTGGCAGTCGATTTTTTTCTACACTTTTAGGTGTATTTTGTGCAAGAATATGCAATAAAATCGTCCGCCTAAAAAAAAATTGAATTATTTTGGAAATTTTTTTTTTTACCTGGATGACTTTTTGGTGGTTCTAGAGGTCTTCCTCTACTCGGATTTGGCTGTCGATTTTTTTCTACACTTTTAGGTGTATTTTGTGCAAGGATATGCAATAAAATCGTCCGCCTAAGAAAAATTGAATTTTTTTGGAAATTTTTTTTTGGACCTGGATGACTTTTGGTGGTAATAGAGGTCTTCCTCTACTCGGATTTGGCTGTCGATTTTTTTCTACACTTTTAGGTGTATTTTGTGCAAGAATATGCAATAAAATCGTCCGCCTAAGAAAAATTGAATTTTTTTGGAAATTTTTTTTTGGACTTGGATGACTTTTGGTGGTAATAGAGGTCTTCCTCTACTGGAATTTGGCAGTCGATTTTTTTCTACACTTTTAGGTGTATTTTGTGCAAGAATATGCAATAAAATCGTCCGCCTAAGAAAAATTGAATTTTTTTGGAAATTTTTTTTTTTACCTGAATGACTTTTTGGTGGTTATAGAGGTCTTCCTCTACTCGGATTTGGCTGTCGATTTTTTTCTACACTTTTAGGTGTATTTTGTGCAAGGATATGCAATAAAATCGTCCGCCTAAGAAAAATTGAATTTTTTTGGAAATTTTTTTTTGGACCTGGATGACTTTTGGTGGTAATAGAGGTCTTCCTCTACTGGAATTTGGCAGTCGATTTTTTTCTACACTTTTAGGTGTATTTTGTGCAAGAATATGCAATAAAATCGTCCGCCTAAGAAAAATTGAATTTTTTTGGAAATTTTTTTTTTTACCTGAATGACTTTTTGGTGGTTATAGAGGTCTTCCTCTACTCGGATTTGGCTGTCGATTTTTTTCTACACTTTTAGGTGTATTTTGTGCAAGAATATGCAATAAAATCGTCCGCCTAAGAAAAATTGAATTTTTTTGGAAATTTTTTTTTGGACCTGGATGACATTTTGGTGGTTATAGAGGTCTTCCTCTACTCGGATTTGGCTGTCGATTTTTTTCTACACTTTTAGGTGTATTATGTGCATGAATATGCAATAAAATCGTCCGCCTAAAAAAAAATTGAATTATTTTGGAAATTTTTTTTTTTACCTGGATGACTTTTTGGTGGTTATAGAGGTCTTCCTCTACTCGGATTTGGCTGTCGATTTTTTTCTACACTTTTAGGTGTATTTTGTGCAAGAATATGCAATAAAATCGTCCGCCTAAGAAAAATTGAATTTTTTTGAAAATTTTCTTTTTTACCTGGATGACTTTTTGGTGGTTCTAGAGGTCTTCCTCTACTCGGATTTGGCTGTCGATTTTTTTCTACACTTTTAGGTGTATTTTGTGCAAGGATATGCAATAAAATCGTCCGCCTAAGAAAAATTGAATTTTTTTGGAAATTTTTTTTTGGACTTGGATGACTTTCTGGTGGGAATAGAGGTCTTCCTCTACTCGGAATTGGCTGACGATTTTTTTCTACACTTTTAGGTGTATTTTGTACAAGAATATGCAATAAAATCGTCCGCCTAAGAAAAATTGAATTTTTTTGGAAATTTTTTTTTGGACCTGGATGAATTTTTGGTGGTAATAGAGGTCTTCCTCTACTTGGATTTGGCTGTCGATTTTTTTCTACACTTTTCGGTGTATTTTGTGCAAGAAAATGCAATAAAATCATCTGCCTATGAAAAAATGAATTTTTTCCAGAACTTTTTTTGATTATGGACTGCTTTTTGGTGGTAACAGGTGTCTTCCTCTAATTGGATTTGGGTGTCAATTTTTTTCTAGCCTTTAAGGTGTATTTTGTGCAAGAATTTGCATTAAAATCATCTGCCTAAAAAAAATGAATTTTTTTGAGAACTTTTTTATGATTTTGGATGGCTTTTTGGTGGTAATAGGTGTCTTCCTCTACTTGGATTTGGCTGTCAATTATTTTCAACACTTTTAGGTGTATTTTGTGCATGAATTTGCAATAAAATCATCTGTTTAAGAAAAAACGAATTTTTTTGGTACCTTTTTTATGATATGGTTGGTCTTAAGGGTGGTAATATATGTCTTCCTCTACTTGGATTTGGGTATTAATTTTTTTTTACACTTTTAGGTGTATTTTGTGCAAGAATATGCAGTAATACATATCCTGAAATATCTGTGAAAAAGATGTCAAACTTTTCTTCAAAGTTATAAAATGAAATCAAAAATTTCTTTTATGAAATACGAAATAACTTCCCTTCCCATAATCATGTCCATAATCTTAAATCTCTCCTTTCACCACATACTACAATCAACACTCCCCACATAACCTTGTACATAACAAATATTTATAATATTTCACAATTTACTTCCCCTCTTGGGAAATACAGTGATAGCTATAGAGTCATAAATAAAAGTTATATTATCTTGGAAACAAAATGATAAAAAAGAATATTAATTATAAAACTATGTATTTGACTAATGAACTGCTTAGTTTTTAATTTTCTAAATTGATTTTTTTATAAGAGAAGTCTTCTTATAGAAAACAGGAAAATTTTGATAAACTATTAAATTCAAAAGATTTGTTCTTCGTTTTGTTGAAAAAGAAGACTTAATTTAAAATTTACTCGTGTTGAATTATGATCTTTTCTCTATATATACATTCTTTTATAACTCATAAGATTTCTTTATGTAGTTAAGAATGCGTTTAATGCCAAGCATATAACCTTTATCCGCATTCATGCATCCTTAGAATATGAAATACGTGGCATTCTAACGAATAAATGCATCATTAAAGTCGTATGGAAGTTAAAGTAAGCCAAAGTGGTTCTCATCTCTTCTCTATTTTTTTTCTCCCTCAAGGCGCATTGTTTATCGAGTGATCGTTAAACATTTACTGTACTTGATCTGGCAAAGAAATACACTTGTTATGAAAATGTGTCATCGCAGTTATGTACTTTTCATTGTCTCTCGCAGGTGTGTAGCATCTATGTGACTGCCATTTTCGTGTGCAAGATCGATTTCTTTGAGAAAGATGAGCACACTATGGCGCATATATACAATACAATCCCCGACGCAAGAAACGAGGAGTCTGTTATGTGCCGTAAAACGGAATATGCAATTCCGCCTTCCGCAGCCGCAAGTCTCTATATATATAAAGTAATATCCTGAAACGGCGACGCGAATCGTCTTCAGATCCGGTTTCGTATTGCCTCTAAGAAGCTGCGGATAAGGTCTCAACACCAATATCTGGCAAAACCTTAAGTCTGATCTCCAAGCAACTTTCTTCGTCTCCGATGAAAATTCTCTATACGCTTGATTAACTTGACTTCCCGGTGGTGTGTTTTAAAATTAAAATTCTTATTGTTCTAATTAAAATCCAACAAGATATATCGAGCTTCTATTTTAATTCCGGAATATATGTTTAAGGCACTACAAAAGTTAGTTTTGGGAAACAAAAACAAGTTTCTGGAATAGAAAACCAAGAGACAAGTGGAAGGAGGTGATGTAAAAGAAGCCAAACAAGGAGAAAAGAAAATAAAGTGAGATCTAAAAAGAAGGGGACCATGCTATTTCGAAAGCAGATTATTCGAGGCTCTATCTTGAATTCGTATATCGTGAAACCAATATCAATTTCAGTTGGAGATTAACCGATCTTCTTTTCCTATAGGAGAAGATAACCTTGTATTACTTGAAATTTTATTTCGCATTAATGACAACTCACTATAAACATTTTAAAACATCTCTTCTTTTTGTTATTACAATTTAAAATCTCAGTCCAAGTAGATAAGAATTTTGCTTTTAAATAAGCAACAAAAAATATTAAGAATTTAATATAAAATCAAAACTGAATCAATGAGATAATCATTGAAAAAAAAGGAGTTTATAAAAACAGAATTCAACGAAATATCATGAAATAAAATATCCTCTATAATGGTATGTAAATCGTAAAGCTCGTTCAATGCAAATTGGCGTGTGCACAGTGAAAAGTGATGTTAATGGAAAAGAGCATAAAGCATCTCCTTACTGCGATCGTTTACCGAGCTACTATTTATGTTGATAACTTCCAAATGGAGTTAGATACACGATTCTGACTGGTGGTAGTGGGTTGGTGGGCCGGGTGGTCTGGTAGCACTTGCAAAGTATGGAGATCTTTTTGGTCGCGCAGGAGAAGGCGAGTTGAGTCGAGAACAAGATTCAAGCGGAAAGTTTTGCGAGTTAATGGTGCGGATGTAATGCTGCCACCGCAACAGCAACAGCCACCCTCGGTTCTCTTCTCTCCTTCGTCGTTTGCTCTCTTACTCTCTTTTTCTTTCTTTCTTTCTTTCTTTCTTTCTTCTCCTTCGAGAGAAAAGGGTAGTGTTGCCCTCTTTCCGTTCAACTCCTCTCAACCCTGCAACCCCTTTCTACAAGCCACTCTATCCCTTTCTCTCTATAACGTTCACTATTCAACCTCTCGAAGTAGAGTAGTCGTAAGTCGCTAGCAATCTTTTTCTTCGCTTCTCACATCACGAACAGTCGCTAACAACTACATCAAATATACCTCACTACTTTTCTTCTTGCATAGTCACTTTTTGCATCAACGAGACTTTCTGTTGTCCTATTTTCAATTAACGATGATCAAAAAAAAACTTTTGGAACTAATTATGAACTAAAAAACTATAAGTTACGCGAGCATTTTTTTTAATAGTTTCATCAATTTTATTATGATAGAGTAATTTAGATTTAGACAATATATTTCCGGGAAACCTTGTTGAGACGCGTCTTTAATCTAAAGATTTAAGTTTCTGCAAGCTATTACCCTCGTCTACAGTGATTGTTTGCCTCGTCTCTTCGCTCCAATTTAATTACGAAGTCCTTTGGAAGGCTTAGGTGTCTGCAACTCACTACCCAAAGACAACGTGATGTTCTCTCTCTTTAAACATCTTTGTATATAAAAGACATTCGAAACAGCTTTCCAGGCTGTTACTCTGTTTACTTGGGATTCTATCTCTCAAATTCACATTTCTTACATTATATATAGTCTCAATTGTCTAAACCAAGAGCATTGTTTAATTTCACATTTATGTATCCTGTTTCAAGTGATATAATTAATTTATACAGTTGAGATGTTTGATTCCCTCATAAAATGTGAACACAGTTGGGTAGCCAATAGCTCGTCGTCATCGTCGCTAGCCCTATGCTTCAGTATGGTATTCATATCCAGACCATTACTACCATCAGGAACTAAACGGCATTGAGCTCGCACCATTAACAGAATCTAGGATCTGATCCACTTCACTGAATAACGTTCAATCGCGATTATGATAATGCGCGAACATTCAAGAATACCAATTGCTCTTTGCCATTTCATGTTTCCCATTCAAAAAAGACATTGCCCATTTAATTAATTCAATGAGTATTATGCTTGTTTTGCTTATCTGAAGCATGATTTAGGTTTTTTTTTTTTTTTTTCTTTACTACAGACACCAGTTGACTCTCCCTTTTTGGATAATTGTCAGAATTATTTTTGTTAAAAAAGATAATAAATAAAAAAATTATTTCTGTTCCTAATCTAAAAAATTGAAGTTCTCAGAAGCATGGTCGTTGATTATTGGACTTGCGATTTGGTTTACTTCTTCTCTTATGCCCGGAGATAATGGACACTATTACCTTAACGAGGCCCCAGTCTCTTAGTTGGTAATTGCTTCGAGATATCCAGAAGCTCTGGTGCCTGGTGTTCCTGCTAGAGAGCCAGACGGCGTTATTGCCATCGAGGCTACTTGCCCGTTTCGTGGTGGTTATTGTTATGAGCTTGCGGCATTAAGATGTACACCACACTACTCTCATAGAGGAGAACCCCATATAACGCCAGTAAACCTATATACCTCTAAAGGATTTCATTATGTCGTTTCATAACTGCGAGACTTCAGCGTAGCGATAAATCGGAATTGTCCTCCTTTATTATATAAAAGCCCGCTCCATCTCATAAACTTTCTTCACGAGTTAATCTCTTCTATTGCAGTTTGTCATATTTTCTGACATTATAATTTGAATATTACTAATCTCTGTGGCATTATTCGAAATTATCACTAACAGCATGTTTTTGATTAGTTTTTCACAACTGTGGAAAAATTGAGACTTAATTCCTTGAAATAGCATGAAAAAGACTCAAATCAGCCTCTCCAATTAATTCATTTATTAATACTGATAACCTTTTTAAGAAAATCAAAACTAATTTTGTGAGACTACATTCTAGGATACGACTTGAGTCCGAAATGATGTTTTCCTTAGTGGATCTATTGGTTTTCGACTTAGAGTTGTCTGTATTCGAAAAGACTTTGTAGGGATGAGGTGGAAAAGCGAACAAGAGAGAAACAGACGAGAGGATTTTACCGGCAGATCTCATATAGTGTGGCACTGTGCAAAGGTTCTTCTTCAGCACAGGCCAATACGACAAGACCAGCGCATAGCCTAAACCTTGCTAGAGCCACCAAGATGGTTTACGGCTTCGTTGCAAGTTGGTGAAATTTAAGAGCGCATTTAAAACTGGTTTGGCGCGATGCCCTACGCCTCCTGGAGCCACTACTGCTGCCGAGAGAAGATACCGCTAGGCTCCGACAGGAGTTTATCGCTCCAACATTCTTAGAAAGC